CTTGGTCTCCTACACAGGCCTGCGGAGCAGCAGTGCCTCAGTGATGTGCGATAACATGTGAGCATATCAAAGCAGCACTTGCTGGACGGGTCACACCTTGCAATGTGCACGGCACTCTTTTCTGAATGAGCAGCAAGTATTCCTTGTTTGTCCTGGTTAAATATTACCATTTCTCTGAACACAGGATTATCCTACACCAAGTGGCACCAAAGACAACTAAGAAGTTGAGAACACAGTTCCTCTCTCTACACACGTTCTTTCTAACGCCCAGCCTAGCTCCATGTGCCATCCATAAAGGTGGGAATACCCCATCTGGAGAGGTGTCTAGAGTCAGAGTTAAGCTATAAGAACACTGCCATTTTCAAATTTCTTGAGACACTGCTCCTGTTATGCAGAAAAGTTCTACCAGGTCCATCTGGTGGGTCCAAGAATTCTCAAAAGTTATAATCAAGCTGGAGCCGACCTTCTCTGGGATGTGGCAAAGCTCCAGTGTCTATGCAGGGAACTTCATGTAACTTTGTTCACACCCAAATCACGTTTCTGCCACCATTTTCTCCTCTCACAGGAGAGTAATGTTCCCAATCCTTGGGAAGCAGCCACACCACTAAGATTATCTTTGAACTGCAAGGAGGCAATGTGTGAGAGTGATATTGTGTGACTTGGCAAATCCTGCACACTGAAAGGCTTCCTCTGTTCGGCACCACCACCTATTCCACGCCCCTCCTCGAGATCACTGCTGTCTGCCCGGGCCAGTCTGGCAGAAGTGCCCAGTGGGAAAGCAGCCCTGGCATTGCCTGGGTGGTCTGATTTCTAGTGGACTGCTGAAAAATGGACAGGACAACGCCCCCTTTAGCTTTCCACCCCTTTGTCCCCTGACGAGACTTAATGAGAAACTTTCGGGAGCAGACACCCTAGATCACAGCAGAGCAGGGAACCACACGCCAAGAGGGCACAGAGCAGAAGCACCATAATGAACAGGGGAATCAGGGCGTGCAGTGGAGGTTGTGAAATCGGCATACTTGCCTTGCCGCTTCCTGCTTCCTCCTAGTTTGGTAAACCTCTACTGCATGCTCTTAACTTTCTGTTCACAGCTCTTACTCTGCAGGAAGTTTTCTAATAATCCCAATTATAACTACATGCAAGCAAGAGGTCATAAAAGTCCACACCCACAGTGCAGGGTGGGGGAACAGGAGCTGGATAAAGAACCTTGGATGAGGAAATCAACTGGGAGTTTCACAGGACCTAAGAGTGAGTAGAAAAAGGGTTCCACAGTTGAATAACTTTGAGAAATGCGGGTTCAAATAAAGCTGAGCAAATAAATGTCTTTTTTGTAGGATTTCTCAGAGCCTTTAACAAACTAACAACAACAACAAAAACTAACAAGCCTTGCTGATCTTTAAGAAAAACAGAATAGGCCAGGAGCAGTGGCTCACACCTGTAATCCTAGCACTCTGGGAGGCTGAGGTGGGTGGATTGCTCAAGGTCAGGAGTTCGAGACCAGCCTGAGCAAGAGCAAGACCCCATCTCTACTATAAATAAAAAGAAATTATCTGGACAACTAAAAATATATAGAAAAAATTAGCCGGGCATGGTGGCACATGATTATAGTTCCAGCTACTTGGGAGGCTGAGACAAGAGGATCGCTTGAGCCCAGGAGTTTGAGGCTGCTGTGAGCTAGGCTGATACCATGGCACTCTAGCCCATGCAACAGAGCGAGACTTTGTCTAAAAAAAAGAAAGAAAAATAGAATAGACAGCAATTCTCTTTTTTTTTTTTTTCCGAGACAGGGTCTCACTTTGTTGCCCAGGCTAGAGTGAGTGCCGTGGTGTCAGCCTAGCTCACAGCAACCTCAAACTCCTGGGCTCGAGCAATCCTGCTGCCTTCAGCCTCCCGAGTAGCTGGGACTACAAGCATGCGCCACCATGCCCAGCTAATTTTTCTGTGTATATTAATTTGCCAATTAATTTCTATTTATAGTATAGACAGGGTCTCGTTCTTGGTCAGGCGGGTTTTGAACTCCTGACCTCGAGCAATCTGCCCGCCTCGGCCTCCCAGAGTGCTAGGATTACAGGGGTGAGCCACTGTGCCCGGCCAGGTAGCAATTCTCAAACCTAACTGACCACAGAACCCTGAGCACTTTTCAGGACTGGCATTACTGAGAACAAATATTGCTTTAAAGTACTGTTTTAAAAAGCACAATAAGGCTGGGTGCGGTGGCTCCCATTCTGTCCTCAGGTAGCCTAAAATATCCCCAAGGCAGTTTAATACCAATGTCTAAGCTTTAAAATCCTTTGAAACAGCACTGTCTTAGGAATGAGACTGTGTCAGCCCCTGCCTACTGCTAAGTAGCTGGTGACTGGCATGTGCCATCCTCATTTCTCAACTCAAGAGGTTAGAATAACAGTTAGCCGTGGATTCTGAACGCTAAGTATGTCTTCGTAATCCAACATTAAATGGGGTGACAGAAAAAAACAACTGCTCTGGAGTCTGACTAGGTGTGACGGGTTCTGAGTCTAGTGCCTCTCTACCCGCGCTCTCCTGAGCTCTGTGCCAACACCCTGGGTAAATGAAGCTGGGCTCACACCCAGTCTCCCAAGGGCTGCACCCTCCCAATGTCCCAGCCGTGGCAGTCAGGGAAGCAGGCACTACCATCTTAAGGAACGGAGTGCAGCTCTGACCAGAAGAAGCAGCTCGGACCTCACATCCAAAGCTGCTTCTCCCCATGCAATTGTGCACCAGGAGGAAAACCCCTGCCTAGGATGAGGAGGAGCAAAATTGCAGCCAGCCAGCTCTCTTCTTCCCACACAGGATTTCCCACCAGATGTGGCTAGTTGACAGGACCACAGCTGCTTCCTGTCTTGCCATATCCTGGGGCTACCTGATGGACAGACCAGACTGTCTTGCTTGAATGCAGAAGTACTTCTACAACAGTTTGCACAGTCATTTCTGGGGCCAGAGATGAGGTTTAAGATTCTCAAGCAGCTATTAATACAGGGCAGAACTGCTAGTACTGGAGAAAAGTTCTATGCATCTTTGGACAGATGACTGCCTCTGATTGTCAGACAGCAGCAGATATTTTATTTCTGATTCTGACAGGACAAAAAAGAAAGAAAGAAAATCATCACACACACCAAAGGGTTACTGAATCTTTACTAAAACACAAACCCCGGTATTATACAGCAGTTTTGTAATTAAAGCAAAACAGGGCCGGGAGAGGTGGCTCACGCCTGTAATCCTAGCACTATGGGAGGCTGAGGCACGAGAATCGCTCAAGGTCAGGAATTTGAAACCAGCCTGAGCAAGAGCAAGACCCTATCTCTACTATAAATAGAAAGAAATGAGCCAAACAACTAAAAATATATAGAAAAAATTAGCCGGGCATGGTGGCGCATGCCTGTAGTCCCAGCTACTCGGGAGGCTGAGGCAGGAGGATCACTTGAGCCCAGGAGTTTGAGGCTGCTGTGAGCTAGGCTGATGCCATGGCACTCTAGCCCAGGCAACAAAGTGAGACTCTGTCTCAAAAAAATAAAAAATAAAAAATAAAGCAAAACAGTTATCAAGACACTGGAGGAAAAAAATGCAAATGTTCTTTCTTTACTCAACCAATAGAGATGACTGTTTGCCTTACATAAGAGACAAGGTCCTCCCAAAGGCTCTGTCAAGAAGCGTTAAGCTACAAGAGGAATGTTTCGAATTCCCTGACATTACAAGGAACAAGCTACCAGAATTTGCCTTGAGGGCTCCCGTTGGCTAAGACACCTTCTTAGACTGAGAAAGAAGCATAAAACATTCATTCTCCTGACAGCAAATAATTATTTAGTTCAACTCTCTTTTGATTTTGCTCTGACCCTTGGAGGGATTCAAGGTGGGGAAAACTCATGCTGTGGATCGCAGGAAGGACCCTCCAAGGACCTCCCTGACACCTGGAGGAAACTCTGAAGTTGCCAATGACCAAAATAAAAAGGACAAGCCAGATGAGTTAATGTGTCTGGTGACATCCTGACAGAGCAGAACCTCAGGGCTCATAAATCAACCAGTCAGCACAAACAAGCTTCCCCAGAACTGGGTTTGAGCAGACATGAAATAAGAGGCACAGGAGCTCTGGAGCTAAATGGAGTTCCAGCCCTTCCCCATAGAAAAAGAACACCTCTGTGCTCTCAGCAGAAAGGTTTTGGCTTTAAGTAGGAAGACTGTTCAATTGTTTGTTCAAAAGGTCAGGCCATGCTGCCTAAAATGTTTAAGCTTGCTTCACAGTCATAAATACATAATAAATGTGAATATAACATGAAAAACAAAGAAAAAAGTCAGGCCAGATCATAGGTCAGTACATCTCAACTACACTGCTACTACACACAGGTCGGTTAAACTAATGTTCCTTGTGCTTCCAGACTCTTTCAGAACTCTCTCATCTCTCCTCTCTCACTAACTGGGGCTCCCCTATCTGGCCAAAGCCCATTCCAAACGACACACGGCCAAGGTGTGGAATTCTTATCAAGGCCATTTTTGAACTTGGGCTATCTTCCTACTCTTCTTTTCCAAACAAATCTCACGGCCTTTCCTTCACCTTATACTCTAGTTTGGCTGGTAGTAGTGGTGGTGATGAGAGAAGTATGTGTCTTGGGCTTTTCTCATATTTCTCCATCTCACCAGAGGCTTACACCTCCTTATGTTGCTGTCACTCGCTCTCCTAAGGTCACTCAAGACAGGTGTCTTCCCAAGACTGCAGGAATGTGACAGTCACCTTTTGCTTTTCTCCCTGAAGCTAGGGGATCTCCTTAAGAGTCCGACCATGCCAGCTCGGGTCCCCGTTCCCCGCCCCCTCTGCTGTTCCACCTGCTGCTAGTCCCGCCCCCCAGAACCTACGACACGATAGCCCTCAAAGCCTGCTCTCCCATTGGGCAGATAGCCCGTCCCTCCTACGCCACGTCTCCCGGCTCTGGCTAAAGAGGCCCGGGCGGCGGCCCTTGGCATTAGAGAGAGCTATGAGTTGGGGGCTCTACCTGGAAGGGGTTTACATCCACTGGGTCCGCGAAGGGGTTAGTGTCGAAGGCCGACATGGCGGTCGAGACTGGCGGGTGACCTCAGCGAGCGCTCCTGCCTCCGGGCACCCAGACCCAGCGGCGCTCTGCAGACTCTCCACTTCCGGGAGCGAGGCAGCCGTTCTGGCGCAGGCGCAGCGCCCTCCCAGAGGGGCGTGGCCCGTGGCGTCACAGAGATCCGCCCCGCCCCCTGCCAGCTCTCAGCGGAGCGGCGGGTGGGCTTTCGGCTTCCGTCCACGTCTTCCCTCTGCTGGGCGGGCAATCTGGGGTCCCGGCTGGCAGAGGGACTCGGGCGTCTGAGGCAGGACCGGAGTTCTTCAACTCCCTATCAGTCGGATACCTTTGTGTTTCTAAAGCAAACTCCCAAAAGTGGGACTGGAAACTTAACCCTTCGCTTCCCTTGAGGGCAAATTTGGAAAGTCCCAAACTAGTCCCTGGGCAGAGGACAAGGGTGACCAGTGAAGGGGAGGCCTTGGGAGAATTAGGAAAGAGCTCTGGTGAAAGGACCAAGGCAGAGGGGTTTCTCCTCTGAAGAACGTGCTCTGAGAGAGAGAAATACGAGGACTATTCAACAGCTCTCCACCCGAACTGTGCTGGCCTCTTTTAGGACTTGTCCCTGCTGTCAAGTTTCCTCCTTTTAGGGATGAGGATCCCTGGGCCAAGGCAAGTTTGGGACCTGTGTTGGGATTTGAACCTGGGCATCAAGCATTAATGGAGCGAAGGAGTGCAGCCTCAGGCATGGAGGTGGCTGATTGACTCTCCACAAATCCACCTTATTTATTCAGCTCTGTTGTCACTGAATCCAGCCACTCATTTTTCACCCTGGGCTAGTATAGGGCTGTTAACTGGTCTATAGTTCTTCATGTTGTAACCAGAGATCTGTTTAAGGGGGGCAAAATTATCATGAAACATTCTATTAAAATCTTTCAATTAATTTCAATAAAGGCCCAAATTCTTAGTTTGCCCTTGAGGTCCTACGGAATATGCTCCCTCCTCAATTACTTCTTCCCATCCCTCCTGCCCAACCCCTTGCATTCCAGCCATCCTAGTGGCTTTTGAGTTCCTCAAACGAACCTATTTCTCTCTGGTCTCAGGGCCTTTGCATATGTGTTCTTTCCATCTAGTATACTCTTAGCCCACACCCCTCCCAATCATCCTCTGGTTAACTTCTACTTATCCTTCGAATCCAAGCTTTGAAGCCCTATCCTCAAGGGTAGCTTCCCCTTCACTCTCTAGGTTGCATCAGCCACTCCTAACATTATAAACTCTCCTATTACCCTGGGCTTTTCCTTCACAATACCTATTGCAGATTATGTAAACTAAAAGTAAAACCCTGGCCGGGAGTGGGTGGCTCACGCCTGTAATCCTAGCTCCCTGGGAGGCCGAGGCGGGCGGATTGCTCGAGGTCAGGAGTTCGAAACCAGCCTGAGCAAGAGTGAGACCCCGTCTCTACTATAAATAGAAAGAAATTAATTGGCCAACTAATATATAGAGAAAAAATTAGCCAGGCATGGTGGCGCATGCCTGTAGTCTCAGCTACTCGGGAGGCTGAGGCAGTAGGATCACTTAAGCCCAGGAGTTTGAGGTTGCTGTGAGCTAGGCTGACGCCACGGCACTCACTTTAGCCTGGGCAACAAAGCGAGACTCTGTCTCAAAAAACAAACAAACAAAAAAATAAATAAATAAAAGTAAAACCCTAAACCCCTGCCAAATGAACAGACTTCCTCTTGGCCAAGGGGACCCCCCCTCCCAGAAAGACCTTAAAACTGTATTTCCAGCCATGAAGGGAAGGGAGGTCAAAATGTCTCCTTATTCCCCAATCCCTTTCCAAGTTTAGACTAATCACAAATGGGACCGAAGGCCAAGCAAGGCAAAGGTTAAATCACTCCTGCAGACCATCAATTTGCTTAACAGATCACTGAGTGAATGTGAGGCTAGCTCTCTGATTAGCAGACTCCCTTATCTTAAGTCAAACATTCCCTTCTTGGCCAAGGCGGGCCAAGAGTTCGAAACCAGCCTGAGCAAGAGCAAGACCTCGTCTCTACTATAAATAGAAAGAAATTAATTGACCAACTAAAAATATATATAGAAAAAATTAGCCGGGCATGGTGGCACATGCCTGTAGTCTCAGCTACTCAGGAGGCTGGGGCAGTAGGATCACTTGAGCCTAGGAGATGGAGGTTGCTGTGAGCTAGGCTGACGCCACGACACTCACTCTAGCCTGGGCAACAAAGTGAGACCCTGTCTCGAAAAAAAAAAACAAAAACACAAAACATTCCCTTCTTTTGATGCCAAGCCTTTAGACAAAGCTTTATTTCTTTTTTTTTTTCTTTTTTTGAGACAGAGTCTCAAGATGGGGTCTGGCTCTTGCTCAGGCTGGTCTTGAACCCCTGAGCTCAAGGGATCCTCCTGCCTTGGCCTCCCAGAGTGCTAGGATTACAGGCATGAACCGGGTGTGGTGGGGCCTGAAAAAATCAATTTTAAAAGAGAGATTTACATCTCTTTTCTGTCTTTTCAACTCTTTTCAGAAGTTGTACAAAAAAAACTCCTGCAGGGTGCCTGTTGGTGAGAGACCTGGTAGGATTGATCTTTAACTGTTACTGGGGAAACTGTGGGATTAGATACTTTCCTGTTATTTTTACAAGGCTGCCCCTTTCAGTACAAGTGTTTTTTATTGCATGGATGAATTGTATAATGCCAAGGTCTTGATGTACCAGCCACCAGAATAGTGTTGTGAAATAAAATAAAATTTCTCCCAGGAGTTTGTGAGTGGAAAATAAAATAAAATAAAATTTTAGGCTTACCCCCAACTGGCTGACTGAATAGACCCCCTCATGGCCAAAGGAATATCCTAAAACTAAGTTGCCAGCTAGGAGGGAGGTCAGACATGCCTCATCATGTCCCCTCTTGAAGACATCCTTTGTAATCCATTAACAGGCCTAAGAGATGCAAGACAAACCTGCAGGTCCTCAATTTACCCAACAAATATATGTTAGTGGCTTGTCTCTGATAAACATCTCCTTATGTTAAAACACTCCAAGCCTTTAGACAAAGCTTCATGTCTTTAACCAATTACAAGCCAAAGAATCTTTAAGTCCACCTATAACCCGTAAGCTCCTCTCTTTGAGATGGCCCACCTTTTTGGGCCAAACCAAGGTATGCCTCCCATGTATTGATTTATAACTTTACCTGTAACCCCTCTCTCCCTGAAATGTATAAAACCAAACTGTAACCCAGCCACAGTGAGTCCACTTGCTCAAGGCTTCTTGGGAGTGGCTCCGGGTCATCGTCCTCAAATTTGGCTCAGAGTAAATCTCTCTGTTTTTGTTTGTTTGTTTTATTTTATGTTTTTCCTAATGTGCCCCTGCCCTTTTCTGTCTAAACCATAAATGAACTTGGCCTTCTTCAGTTTCTGCATCCTCATCCCCTTCCAATTCACCTTACCGTGTCTACCCTAAGTCCCCACCTCTATTTATGCCAGTGGCAAGTGTCCCCTCTCAGCCTGTAACTTTGTGTTCGTCAGTATCCACACACCTTCAAAGAGCTCCCAGAATGAGAGGCATTTGGTTAAACAACCATCACATTCAAATATGCACTCAGCACCTAAACCTACATTTCTTTCTATTTATAGTAGAGACGGGGTCTCGCTCTTGCTCAGGCTGGTTTCGAACTCCTGACCTCGAGCAATCCGCCTGCCTAGGCCTCCCAGAGTAACACCACACTTCTGACGCCAGGTGTGTGGGGGTTGTTTCCCCACACACCAAGCAATTCTCCAGTGGACACCAACTAGATGTCCTTCAATTCAATTCAGACACTGTCTACCTGGAGTTAGTGTCAGATCCCACAGGTCAATCCCACAAGACTGTCCCCATCAATTTCATTGGCAATCCCAAGACCCAGGTTGTGACCTGTTCATTCTAAATAACTGGTATTTATCAGGATTCCAACACCTTATTTTACTGGTTTATTATAAAGGGGAGGGGTGGGGTATCAGGTAGCTAATGCCTGCCAGGTAATAGGTTAGTTTATGTGTCAGGTAATAGGTTAGTATTATGTTGATGCACCAGGTAATAGGTTTAGTGTTATGCTGATGAACCAGGTAATAGGTTAGGTGCAGGGCCAGGTAATAGGTTAGTGTTATGCTGATGTGAGTCTTCCGTGAGGGTGGGGTCTCAGGTGGCAGATGTGCCAAGTAATAGATGGGGGTTTTCCTTATCAATTCATGGGGCAAGGCATGTGGGGAGGGGTGTGGGGCTTCCATGCCCTGTCTGGAGCGCCACCCTCCAGGGACCTCCATGTGTTCAACTATCTGGAAGCTCCCCAAACCCAGTCCTTTTTGGGTTTTTATGGAGGCTCCAGTAAGCAGGCACGACTGATTACATAAGTGACTACTGGGGATCTACTCAACCAGCATTCCACTCCTTCCCCACAAGGCTGGGGGTCGAGCTGAAAGTTCCAACCCTCTAATCACTTGGTTGGTTCCTCTGGCAACCAGCCCTCTTTCAGAGGCTATCCAGGTGTCCCCAGGCCCCAGTCATTCATCAGCATACAAAAAGGCACTTATTACTTCTTAAGAGATTACAAGGGTTTCAGGAGCTGTGTGCCAGGAAATGGGAGGAAGACGAAATATATACTTCACAATATCACAAGAATGAAGTAAAAGAATTATTAGAAAGGATTTTGCACAGTATCCAGTGTATAACAAGCAATAAAAGTTAGTTGCTATTATAGCTTGAACCCTCTGCTAGGCCTCAAACTCCTGGCCTTAAGCAATCTAAGAGGCACAAATGTGAAGCTGAATTAAACATATGGGCTAGAAGAGGAGAGAGGAAAGCAGACCATTGCTAGATAATAGAATGTGACCAGTTCTAATAGCGGTTGTCAATCTAAAAGGAAGAGGCTGAGGCCATCTGGTCACAGTAGCTCACACTTATAGTCCTGGGAGGCTGAGGTGGGAGGATGCCTTGAGGTTAAGAGTTTGAGACCAGCCTAAGCAAAAGAAAGATCCCATCTCTACAAAAAAAAAAAAAAAAAAATAGAAAAACTAGCCAGCCTGTAGTTTCAGCTACTTGGGAGGCTGAAGCAGGAGGATTGCTTGAGCCCAGGAGTTTCAGGTTGCTGTGAGCTGTGATGATGCCACTGTACTCTAGCCAGGCTGACAAAAGCATGACCCTGTCTCAAAAAAAAAAAAATTAAGGAAGATGTTGAGGCACAAAATATGAAGAGTTTACTTGAGCCAAAGTGAGGGCAACTGCCCAGACTTAGACCCAAGTAACTGTGGATGTGAGCTCTGTTCCATCTTTGTTACAGGCAGGTTGTTGAAGGCAAAAAAGGGGGACAGGGAATAGCCTGATAACAAAGTTGTTTGTCAGGAATTCTCATTGGTTTACAGAAATAACATTGATTAGTGATTGGCTATACATTGTTAAACTACAGAGTATGGATTATAGTGTCCTGTATGGCATGACATGATTAGGTTAATTTATAGCTACTTATAGCACTAGCAAGCAGTTTCAAGAGATAAATACATATGTGTCAGGTCTATATAGAAAGAAAAGAAAAGAAAAGAGGAAAGACAAGAAATAAGACAGAAAAGAAAAAGAAAGAAGGAAGGAAGGAAGGAAGGAAGGAAGGAAGGAAGGAAGGAAGAAGGAAGGAAGGAAGGAAGGTAGGTTTGAATAAACAGCTCAAAGGCGGGGAGGGCTGGGGGTGGGTGCTCATACCTATAATCCCAGCACTTTGGGAGGCTAAGACAGGAGGATTGCTTGAGGCCAGGCATTGGAGACCAGCTGGGGCAAGACGCCATCTCTACAAAAAATTTAAAATTTAGCTGTAAATGGTGGTGTGCACCTGCAGACCCAGCTACTCAGGAGGCTGAGGCAGGAGGATAGCTTGAGCCCAGGAGTTTTAAGTTACAGTGAATTATGATTATGACTGCACTCTAGCCTAGGTAACAGAGTAAAACCTTGTTTCAAAAAAAGGGGGGTGAGGCCGGGCGCAGTGGCTCACGCCTGTAATCCTACGCTCTCTGGGGAGGCCGAGGCGGGCGGATGCTCGAGGTCCAGGAGTTCGAAACCAGCCTGAGCAAGAGCAAGACCCCGTCTCTACTATAAACCGAAAGAAATTAATTGGCCAACTAATATATATAGAAAACATTAGCCGGGCATGGTGGTACATGCCTGTAGTCCCTGCAACTCGGGAGGCTGAGGCAGGAGGATTGCTTGAGCCCAGGAGTTTGAGGTTGCTGTGAGCTAGGCTGACGCCACGGCACTCACTCTAGCCTGGGCAACAAAGCAAGACTCTGTCTCAAAAAAAAAAAAAAAAAAAAAAAAAAAAGGGGTGAGGACTAGGATGTGGTTGCTGTCTCATTTTAATGTCTCTCTGGGCCTGATAATTTAAAAGGACTCCCATTCCTCAGATAAAAGCTCTTTTCTTTTCTCAAGATAAAGTAGGGAAGGGTGCAGGGTTCTAGGTTCTCCAAAGACCCTAGCTGCCCTTATAGTTAAGTTTTCCTGTGTTGGTTGAATGTGGCATGGGGGCCGGGCGCCGTGGCTCATGCCTGTAATCCTAGCACTCTGGGAGGCCGAGGTGGGAGGATCACTTAAGTCAGGAGTTGGAGACCAGCCTGAGCAAGAGCCAGACCCCTTCCCTACTGAAAATAGAAAGAAATTAATTGGCCAACTAATATATATAGAAAAAATTAGCCAGCTGAGGCAGGAGGATCACCTGAGCTCAGGAGTTTGAGGTTGCTGTGAGCTAGGCTGATGCCACAGCACTCTATAGCCTGGGCAACAGAGTGAGACTCTGTCTCAAAAAAAAAAAAAAAAAAATGGCATGGGGGCTCCATCTGTCCCAACAATCTAAGTTCTTCCTTCCCTGTGCAAGGGTGCCATGAGGAAGTAACTTACTCTAACTCTGTTTTCTGTGGTGGTAGTGGGGAGTGCTCTGAGAACCCCCTGAGCCTAAACTAATTCCTCATTCTTCTCCAAGAAGGCTCATATGGTGGAGGAGTGGGGAGGAGGGGAAGGAGTGGTATTCCAAAGCAGGAGGTATTTGAGATAGCTGTTTGCATGATTATTCTGCAGTGTATGGCAAAATTTCCTTTGAAATGCAGGCTGACTTATTTGAGCCAGAGAGGGCCCCATGGGAGATTGACATCCACACCTGGGCACATTACAGAGAAAACAGCACCCTCTCTTTCTCTTGGACATGTGTGGTAGAGGCTGTGGGAATCAGCGCATGACAGTGGCAGGGAATGAGGGGGTAGAGTCACGACTGTAATCCCCCACTCCAGGTTCCCTGGAGCTTTGACTGCTGTGCTCTTAGGTCCCTGCAGCTGGCTGCCCTCTTCCTAGGCTGTTGACTGAGAAGATCCGGATGTCAGGGTCTTTCTCCACATGATATAGCATGATTTCTGCTCAGCCAAGGCCCAGGCCCATCCTTCCCCATGCAGGGTTCTTGGTGACTCTCCCTAACTTCTGTGTGTGAGTTGGTGGGGTTCTGAGCTCCTGGAGAGGGAAGATTGGAGGAGCACAGGGCACCGACTGCCTTATAGGCATCCCACATCATCCCATCTGGCCCTCCAACAAGTGTGTCAGGCTGGCATTATTGTCCCCATTCTACAGAGGAAGAAACCAATGTTCAGAGAGGTTAAGAGCCTGGGAAATTACATTTACGGTCATCATCGTTAGTAAGTCCCCACTTACACTACAGCAATTCATTGCCCAAACCTCTAATTGCTGAGATGCTTCTCCCAATTGTCTAAAAAGCTCTGCCCATTGCCTTTCCTCTCTGCCTTCCTCACTTCCATCTGTCTTGCTCACTCTGCTCCAGCCTCGCTGGCCTCTTTGCTCTTCACTCCTGACCACGACAGGCACATTCCCACGTTCCCACCTCAGTGCTCTGCTCTCACTGTGTCACCCAGAACACTCTTCCCTTCCTCTCCTCCAAGTCTGTGCTCAGATCTCACCTTCCAATGAGGCTGAACCAGACAACCTTTTAAATTTTGCAAACTGCCTCCCACTCCCACCACCCCCTTGCTTTGGGAAGCCTTTATTACCTGTCAACATACTACACGATTGTCTTACTTACACTTGTTTGTCTTCCCTTCACCAGAACGGAAGCTCCACAGAGGCAGAGGGAACGTTTTCTTGTTCTCTGAGGTATCCATCGTGGCACTTAGCAGGTTTTCGACAAGTATGTGCCTGGCGAAGGAAGGAAGGAAGGAAGGAATGCTGAGACTCACGGAACTTTCCTGATAGGCGGCGGGTGGCGGAGCGGTTCGGAGCGCCAGACCGGTGCACCACGAGCCGCGCGGCGCTCGGGGAACTACGTTTCCCGTGAAGCCCCGGGCGCAGACGGCCGCGGGTGCTGCCGGGAAGGGATACGTGCGTTAATCCAGGCCCTGTACGGCTGCGATGGCTGCTCCTCGAGGTCAGGGGCTGTACAGGGTGTGGGCGAGCGTGGTGGGGGGCGCGTCCTGGGGACGAATCTCGGCATGATCTGCCAGGTCGGCTCACTCCTGGGACTCCGAGGAAAGATAGGGGGCACCGGGCAAAGGAGGGGGCACCTGCGCTAAGTATTATAACCCTCAAGGGGAGGGGACTCCGCTCTTCCTGGCCGCATCACTTCGAGACCGGGTACCTTGGGCTGGGTACCTCCCGCTCCCTTCCCGTCTCCTCAGCGCAGCTCTGTGCGTGACGTCGGCACAAGATCCTTACTGCCCATCTTACAGTTGGGAACATTGAGGCCTGCACAGGGGAGGAATCTCACCCAGCAACCTACAAACTGTGTCCCCATTGAGAACTCCCAGCTCTTGCCTGCTTTTCCCAGCTACTAGGGTCAGGTCTGAGGAGTGGAATGGAAGCTGACCCTTTGTCTGTGTCCCCAGTGTTCCCGCTTTCCTGCGTGGTGCAGCAGTATGCCTGGGGGAAGATGGGCTCCAGCAGCGAAGTGGCGCAGCTGCTGGCCAGCAGTGACCCACTGGCCCGGATCTCAGAGGACAAGCCCTATGCAGAGGTGAGACCCGGGCTGTATTTCAGCCCACCTTACCTGCAAGGGAGAGAAAAGGGCATACACCAGCTGGGAAGAGTAGGGGCAGCAAGGAGGGAGGGGACTCTCCTGGCTCTTCAGACTCACGCAGGTTGATGCACCAGAAGAAGAGAGGTTTGTCACAATAGGCTGGGATTTCCAGTACTTTCCTTCCCCATACCACTCAGCACTTAGTGAATTTTAATTCAGTCCTCTTTGACAATTTTTTGTATTTGTATTAACCTAAAATATTTTTTCTTCCACCTACTTAATGGAGAAAAGCCAAAGGGTAGGAAGGCTTTAGCCTCTGCTTGTGAGACTGGAATAAATGAATGTTAAGCTTTCACAGAACCATTTGAGAGGCATACTTTTTCAGTGACCTTGACAGGGCAGGTGTCATTCTCATTGGACAGATAAGGAAATTACACCTGAAGAAGGGAAATAACTAGCCCAACTCTCCATAGCTAATTAGCAGCAGACCCTGGATAAGGGCCTGGATCTCTTTACTTCTGACATTCTGGGGTCTGTTGCCTCCCTGTATGTCCATGGTGGCATGAGCATTTGTACTTAGACCTGGGAGGCCTGTTCTAGGACTCAGCTGCTGTGTGGGGAGCATAGCATAACTGGGATTGGGGCAGGCCAACTAGCGGTGCCAGGTTCCCCCCCTTCTTTCCAAGCATCCTGTCTTTCTAGCTGTGGATGGGGACACACCCTCGGGGAGATGCCAAGATCCTTGACAACCGGATCATACAGAAGACCCTAGGTCAATGGATTGCTGAGAATCAGGACTGCTTGGGCTCAAAGGTCAAGGACACCTTTAATGGCAACCTGCCCTTCCTCTTCAAAGTGCTCTCAGTTGAAACAGCCCTGTCTATCCAGGCACACCCTAACAAGGTACAGGACCAGAGTGGGGTACAGAGGTCAGGGTAGAGAAGAGCATATATCAAGGCCCACCCATGGAGTTTTATTGCTGCTTTTACCCCACCCCTACCAGGCTCCTGCCCAAGGCTAAATCCAGGTCTGACACGTCCCAATTTAGCTCTGTAAAGCCACATGGTGGTGAACACATGCCACAGCTAAGTCTAAGTGAACAGCTGACCAGCCTGTGCCAGGGGAGTTTCTCTAAACTCTTTCCTAGGGGCTTATTCCTGGTCTCCCTTCATCCTGCCCTGGTCTGTTCATCTTTGCTATTTCCCACTTGCTCTCTGGGAGAGTTCAGCTTGCAAGGCAGAGCAGTTCCAACCCCATGGAGTCTTCTGTGTAAGCCCCCGAGTCCCATCCTAAGCAATTGTCGGTCCAAACTCCTCATTTCTACATAAGCAAAGTAAGGCCTATCTAGAGAAGGAAGGGGTTTTACCCTAAGTCACTACAGCTTGTTTGTGTCAGCGGTTGGCCTGAAATTTGAGTTTCCTGATTCACAGGCCAAGCCTCTTAAAGTTGGCCCCAGTTCTCCCCCAGATTTGGCCCATTTCTCTGCCCTGGGTAAGCTGAGCCCCAAGTTTGTGCATCATGCCTTGACTGGGCTTGTTGCCAAAGTAGGAAGCCACTGCCATCCTGCAACTAGGGTGGGTGGAGAGCAGGGCTGGGTGGCACTGGTGTTCCTGCTGGGTGATAGTTGCACCCTGACTGTCCTCCTTCCTCTGGCCACCCCATAGGAGCTGGCAGAGAAGCTGCACCTTCAGGCTCCACAGCACTACCCTGATGCCAACCACAAGCCAGAGATGGCCATTGCCCTCACCTCGTTCCAGGGCTTATGTGGCTTCCGGCCAGTTGAGGAGATTGTAACCTTTCTGAAGAGTAAGGTTTGGGCAGAATGCTGAGGGCATGCATATTGGGCCTAGGATGCATGGGGAGTTCAGACCAGAGTGGTTCAGTGGCAGAGAACAGAGGCTAAATGTCACAGGAACCCAAGGACTTGTTTGGCCTCATGAAGCAGTTTTGTTTTCTTTTTTATTTCAGCATATTATGGGGGTACAAATGTTTAGGTTACATATATTGCCCTTGCCCCACCTGAGTCAGAGCTTCAAGCGTGTCCATCCCCAAGACAGTGCGCACTGCACCCATTAGGTGTGTATATACTCCCCCCTCCCCTACACCTGCCCGATACCCAGTGAGTGTTATTACTATATGTGCACTGAAGTGTTGATCAGTTAAAAGCAATTTTTTTTTTTCGAGACTGTCTCGCTTTGTTGTCCAGGCTAGAGTGAGTGCCATGGCATCAGCCTAGCTCACAGCAACCTCAAACTCCTGGGCTCAGGCAATCCTTCTGCCTCAGCCTCCCAAGTAGCTGGGACTACAGGCATGCGCCACCATGCCCGGCTAACTTTTTCTATATATATATATCAGTTGGCCAATTAATTTATTTTTATTTATAGTAGAGATGGGGTCTCGCTCTTGCTCAGGCTGGTTTTGAACTCCTGACCTCGAGCGATCCACCCGCCTAGGCCTCCCAGAGAGCTAGGATTATAGGCGTGAGCCACCGCGCCTGGCCTAGGTAAAAGCAATTTGATGGTGAGTATATGTGATGCTTATGAAGCAGTTTTTGGAGCCAGTGGGCCAGGCCAATGAGACAAGGCACAGGTGTGGTTGCTAAGGCCTGCTGGTGAATGGCTGATTTTCACTCCTTAGCATTGCCTGGCTCCTTGGTTAGGGTTTGGATGGGAAGGCTTCCTTCAACTGCCCACTTCTGTGAATTCCATCTTAACCATTCCTGTTATGGGCCCTGGGCCTGGCCTTCCTCTAGAGGTGCCTGAGTTCCAGTTCCTGGTTGGAGATGATGCAGCAACACAGCTGAAGCAGAGCATGAGCCATGACTCCCAGGCTGTGGCCTCTGCTCTGCAGAGCTGTTTCTCCCACCTGATGAAGAGTGAGAAGAAGCTGGTGATAGAGCAGCTCAACCTGTTGGTGAAGCGGATTTCCCAGCAAGGTGGGCATGGTTGTATGCCTGGGTGGGTGCAATGCTTTAGCCTGGGCTCCTGGCACAGACACTAATTCAGGGACAGGGTTCTCAACCCCTTTGTCCAAGTGGAACACTAAAAGAGGCCCAACTAGATGGCCTGTTGGCAACTTAGCATTTCCTTTCCAGTCTTTGTGGATTGGGGCCCTGGGTTGAGTGCTACTTCCTAACTGGTCGTCATCTCTAGATCTGTGGTCCCCAACCCCCAGGTCACAGACTGGTTGCGGTCTGTGGGGTCTGTGGCTTGCCCCAGGCTGCATAGCAGGAGGTGAGCAGAGGTGAGTGGGCAAAGCTTCATCTGCATTTACAGCCGCTCCTCATCGCTGCCATCACCACATAAGCTCCACCTCCTGTGAGATAAGCGGCAGGTTTAGATTCTCATAGGAACTCGAACCTTACTCGAGGTATCTAGGTTGCTGGCTCCTTATGAGAATCTAATTATGATCTGAGGTGGAGCTGAGGTGGTGATGCTGGTGCTGGGGAGCAGCTGTAAATACAGATTATCATTAGCAGAGAGGTCTGACTGCACAATAAGTGTAATGTGCTTGAATCACCCCCAAACCATCTTTCCCTACTGCCTACCCCTGTGGAAATACTGTCTTCCATGAAACCAGTCCCTGGTGCCAAAAGGGTTGGGGAACTGCTTGCTCTAGATGGTTGGAGGAGAAGACTCTTCGGATGTCTTCTATCTAGGTATTCTGAGATTTTCCCTAGCCCTGTAGCAGTTCCCCACAGATGGACTTGTATTTTGGGGCTAGAGCACAGGAAGGGGTCAAAAGGAACCTACTTCTCCAAAGGCCTGATGCCTGGAGCTCTCAATCATTAGATCTTTCTATTTTTTTTTTTTTTTTTGAGACAGAGTCTCCCTTTGTTGCCCAGGCTAGAGTGAGTGCTATGGCGTCAGCCTAGCTCACAGCAACCTCAAGCCATCCTTCTGCCTCAGCCTCCCGAGTAGCTGGGGACTACAGGCATGTGCCACCATGCCTGGCTAGTTTTTTCGATATATATTAGTTGGCCAATTAATTTCTGTTTATAGTAGAGACGGGTTCTCACTCTTGCTCAGGCTGGTTTCGAACTCCTGACTTAGAGCAATCTGCCCACCTCGGCCTCCCAGAGTGCTAGGATTACAGGCGTGAGCCACTGCGCCCAACCAGATCTTTCTTTAAATACCTGCTATGTGCCCGACCTGCTATGCTAACTAAGGAGAGTTCAGGAAATGACTGTGATGGGTGCATTCATGTCACCTTTGGACTGGGGAGTCAACACAAGCAATGAGAAACACAAGGCAGAAGAGACTCTCAGCTGTGAGCTAAGGTGGCACAGGCGATAAGGTCTCAACTCCTTAGCCTGGCAGCCCAGCCTCTTCTCCAGGTGGCTCTAGAGCTCTCTTCTGGTTTTATCTTTACACTTTTTCCCTGCTTCCTTTGAGCCACAAGCACTATGTATTTTACCTAAACATACCTTATTTTTTGTTCATTGTTTTTTGGTGTTTGCTTGCATTCCTTTCCCTGTGGGGCTTGCACTCACAGCAGAAATGATTATTCTTGCACGGAGCACTACATCCAGGTATAGCTTTTAGCACCTGTGAGGCTATGTCATCATGTGCACACTTGTTAAAACTGGAGTTTTCTCCAGGCAGGAACCTGTCTCCCTGACCTTTGTCTATGTCTGCATTCAGTAAGTCTTACATGAGCACTCGGAAGCACCCTCCAAGCTGGACCACATGGCTTCTTAATTGTGGCACTCACATACTATGCTTTTACTTACAAATACCCTGTCCCCTACTCTGCACACTGAAATCCTGCTCACCCTGCTCCTGCCCCTTTCTAAGATGTCTGCCCTCACCACTCTAGCCCAGGCCAAGCTCATCTTTCCCTGGTCAGTCTCTAGGACACATGTTGGCCCTTGGCACATTCTGCCTCATGCTATCTGGGATGAACAACCATCCCACTATGCATGGGACTGAGAGATTTCCTGAGACATGGGACTTGGGGTGTTAAAAGTTTGGGAAGGTCCTAGGCTAATAGGCACAGTTGGTTACTCTTCTTGGAACTCTTTTGGATTATCTCCCTAACTAGATTTTGAGCTCCAAGAGCAGTGGTTTTTGCAAATGTCTCAGGGGACATTTGGCAATTGTCAGGGGACATTTTTCATTGTGAAAATCTGTGTTGGGGGGTGCTAGTGGTATCTTGTGGGTGGAGGCCAGGGATGGTGCATCCAGCAGTGCACAGGACAGCTCCAACAAAGAATTACCTAGCCCAGGCCGGGCGTGGTGGCTTAGGCCTGTAATCCCAGCACTCTGGGAGGCTCAGATGGGAGGATTGCTTGAGGTCAGGAGTTCCAGACCAGCCTGAGCAAGACTGAGACCCCGTCTCTACTAAAACTAGAAAAAATTAGTCAGGTGTGGTGATGAACACCTGTAGTCCCAGCTACTCGGGAGGCTGAAGCAGGAGGATTGCTTGAGCCCAGGAGTTTGAGGTTTCTATGAGGTAGGCCGATGCCATGGCACTGTAGCCTGGGTAGCAGAGACTCTATCTCAAAAAAAAGAATTATAGCCGGGCGTGGTGGCTCACGCCTATAATCCTAGCACTCTGGGAGGCCGAGGCAGGTGGATTGCTCGAGTTCAGGAGTTTGAAACCAGCCTGAGCGAGACCCAGTCTCTACTATAAATAGAAAGAAATTAATTGGCCAACTAATATATATAGAAAAAATTAGCCAGGCATGGTAGTGCATGCCTGTATTCCCAGCCACTTGGGAGGCTGAGGCAGTAGGATTGCTTGGGCCCAAGGGTTTGAGGTTGCTGTGAGCTACGCTGACACCATGACACTCACTCTAGCCTGGCCAACAAAGGCTCTGTCTCAAAAAAAAAAAAAAAGAATTACCTAGCCCAAAATATCAATAGCAGCAAGGTTGAGAACTCCTGTTCTACAAGTACCATACTCTAGCCCTTGTAGTGGCTAGTATAGTCCTGGACATGTGAGCAGTCAAGATATGGTAAAAGAACCTGGGCACAATGGCTCACGCCTGTAATCCTAACACTCTGGGAGGCCAAGGCAGGAGGATTGCTTGAGCTCAGGAGTTCAAGACCAGCCTAAGCAAGAGTGAGACACTTTCTCTACTAAAAATGGAAAAATTTAGCAGGGTGTGGTGGTACATGTCTGTAGTCCCAGATACTAGGGAGGCTGAGGCAGGAGGACCATTTGAGCCCAGGAGTTTGAGGTTGCTGTGAGCTATGATAACACCACTGCACTCTAGCTCAGGTGACTGAGGGAACCGACTCTGTCTCCAAAAAAAGAAGATATGATGAAAGATCATCATATGGGCTGGAATATCAAGGAAGGCTGAACCCCAAAGGGCTGGGGGTGTATCCAGGAAGACAGACTCACCACAACTTTTGTATTCCAGTGGGCAGGGACCTTCCCCAGGATTCCTCAGCCAAGGTGGGGCTGTGAACACCACTGAGTATCCCTAAGTAGCCTTGGGGTGTTCTGTGATCCTCAGTGGCTGCTGGAAACAACATGGAGGACGTCTACGGCGAGCTTTTGCTGCAGTTGCACCAGCAGTACCCAGGCGATATCGGTTGCTTTGCTATCTACTTCCTGAACCTACTTACCCTGAAGCCGGGGGAGGCCATGTTTCTGGGGGCCAGTGTTCCCCATGCCTACCTGAAGGGAGGTGAGCCACATTTCAGCAGTGAGCCCCACTGCTATCCCCCTTGCGCCTTATTTCCCCATCTGGACAAAAGAGTGAGAGACAATGGTTGAGACTTTCTCTAAGGACCATTCAGCTCTGACCTCGGGGGGTTCCTGGGCTCAGTAGGGATGATGAATGCCAATTTAGTGTTGGACACTCCTCCCACCAACCCCATGAGTTTATGAGACTGCGTGATGTTAAGCCCTGTCAATAACTGTGGGAACAATTTGAACCCAGGCTATATTGGATCAAGATTATTCCAGGGCCTATATACTTCATCAGCTTAGCACATGACAATTGTCTGTCCCCAGACTGTGTGGAGTGCATGGCCTGTTCAGACAACACTGTGCGTGCTGGCCTGACACCCAAGTTCATCGATGTGCCAACCCTATGTGAAATGCTCAGCTATACCCCAAGCCCCAGCAAGGACAGGCTCTTTCTCCCAACACGGAGTCCGGAAGACCCCTACCTCTCCATCTATGACCCCCCTGTGCCAGACTTCACCATTATGAAGATGGAGGTGAGTGAGGGACCGTGGGGGGCATCCTGTGTGTGGCATGAAAAACCCTGGCAAAGGTCACAATGTGGAGTATACCTGGGGCTGGGTTTCCCATCAAGCTTGCTTGGAGGATGGCCACAGGGCCTGCCCACTCCTCCCTGTACCAGGGACCATAGATTGGCCTCCATGCTGACAGAGCCCAAGCAACGGGGTAGTAGGCGGCAGAGCTCTCTCTTATGCCCTGGGGGTTATCCTGGGCCCATGAGCTGATGGGAGCACAGTCTGAACTACACTGTCCTATCATTTCTTCCTGCCCAGGTCCCTGGCTCTGTCACTGAGTACAAGGTCTTGGCACTAGACTCTGCCAGCATCCTCCTGATGGTGCAGGGGGCAGTGACAGTCAGCACACCCACAGCCCAGACAACAATCCCCCTGCAGCGTGGTGGAGTGCTCTTCATCGGGGCCAATGAGAGTGTCTCACTGAAGCTTACGGTGCCTAAGGACCTGCTGATATTCCGTGCCTGCTGTCTTCTATAGAAGCTGCAATTTCCCTAGCCCTCCTCTGCTAGTCACCCCAAATCCTGGCCAGCCTCACTTCCTTGGGCCCAGCCCAAGCCCCCTTCCCTTATCTGGACTCCCTGGGTACATGCGGGAAGAGCTGGGATGGAGGAGTGAGCTTGGAGGTAGTGACTCCTGAGTACACCCAGGCTGAACCATCTTTGGGGAGGAGGGGCCTGATACTCCTTGTATCTGCTCACCATTCCTTGCCACACCCAAGCCAGACTTTTGCCAACTCCAAAGGCAGCAGCTCTACTACAGCCTATAGCATTAGGCTGTCTGGTGAAATCTGTGACCCAGTATTAACTCAGCATCTGTCAGAGCAAGAGGCAGGTAATTTCTAAGGACAGAGTTCTTGCCCTGAGACTGCCCATTTCCTAGGCAGTAGAGAAGAAAAGGGAAAAGGCAGGCCTGTGGACTAGTGTTGATTACACTTCTTGCTGTGTCAAAGAAATTAAAGGTCACTTGTGTTGCAGCTGTGGGGTAAAGAACATTGAGCCTTTGGCAGCTTGGGCCCTCCAGCCCTACAGAGAGAAGGTGGGTCTAAGGGTACACTAGTCATCAGTGCAAGATTTTTTGCTTCTTATTTTCAACTGGCCCTAGGGCAGGGGTTAACAAACTTATGGCTGGCAGGCCAGTTTGGGCCACACGTGCTCAGTTACATATTGCCTTGCTGCTTTCAAGCCACAATGGCAAGGTTGACTATATGGCCTGAAAAAGTAAAATCATTGATTGGCCCTTCACAGAGTTTGCCTACCCCTTCTCTAGAATATAATCATTGCTGATTATAGGGCCCCAGGGACAGACTGATCCAATTTTCTTTAAATTTTTTTTTTTTTGAGACAGAATCTTACTCCGTTGCCCAGGCTGGAGTGCCGTGGCGTCAGCTAGCTGCGGAGCAGCAACCTCAGAACTCCTGGGCTCTAGCAATGCGGTCGCTGCCTCAGCGCTCGCTGAGTAGCGACTGACAGGCATGTGCGTGACGTAGCCGCGCTAATTTCGTTCTATATATTTTTAGTTGGCCAAGTTCATTGCTTTCTATTTAGTAGAGGTGGCGTCTCAGCGGCTGTTCTCAGCTGGTGAACCCTGACCCTGGAGTGACCCACGCCTGGCCGCCAGGAGAGAGATGCTGTAGTATGGAAGGTGGGGGGAGGACGGTAGGCCAGGCTTCAAGTTCCTTTGTCTTTTTTTTTTGTTCTGAGACACGAGTCCACTCTGGTTAGCCTGGGAAAGAGTACTGTGGCGATTGAGCCTGCAGGCCTCCACCAGCAACTTCAGAAGATTGCCTGTGCTCAAGCAATGCGGCTACCCTCACCGTCCCTGGAGTAGCTGGGAGCGTACAACGTGGCATGGCCACCATACCCGCTAATTTTGAATCTTAGTAACAGGCAGGGTCGCTCTTGCCCAGCTGGCATCCAGCTCTTGACTGCCAAGGCAATCCCTACTCAGCTTCCCAAAGTGCTAGGATTAGCAGGCATGAGCCACTGCACCAGGGCCGATCCACGCTTTTTTGTCTTGTTTTGTGTTGAGACAGGAGGTGCGCAGCTTTGGCCCAGGGCGGAAAGGTGGAGGTCGTCGTGGGGCGAGTCAGCCTAGGGCTCACGAGCAACCTTGTAAATCGGCCTGGGCGCAAAGCCGCCGCCGATTCCTACTGCCTCAGCCTGCCCGAAGTAGCCCGTGGGACTACAGGCATGCACGACCGATGCGCTGGGCTAGATTTTTCTGTAGTGAAGCTTGTATTGTTGTAGTTGGTCAATTAATTTCTTTCTATTTATATAGTAGAGACTGGGTCTCGCTCAGGCTGGATTCAAAGTCCTGACCTTGAGCAATCCGCCTGCCTCCCAGAGTGCTAGGATTACAGGCGTGAGCCACCACTTTTCATTCTGAGAACCCCAGCTACCTTTCCTAAGCTAGCAGGGAGTACTTTAGGAGGGCATCTGCTCTCCCTCTGCCCCACTTCCAGAGGTGAAACATACCTATGCAAGAGGCCATTGGGCTATCTGTTCCTGCTAAGGTTTCTGACCTACAATCTTAAATCTGTCACCCTAGACCAGGCAGACTCAGGCCACTGACTCCTTTCTTTGGGGCAAAGGATTAGATTCACACAAAAGTATGTTTCTGGGCTTCTTTCTATACTAGGCCCCTGTAAACCAGAGTTCCAGGAAGCCCCCTCAAAGATATTCTGGTTTTTTTGGCCTCCAAATTTCCTTCAGCTAAATAAAGGGTCTGCTAAAGCAGTGGTCCCCAAGCTTTCTGGCACCAGGGACTGGCTTCATGAAGATAATTTTTCCACTGACCAGAGTGTGTTGGTTGGCAGCTCATTTCCTAATGGGCCATGGCCTGGGGGTTGGGGACTGCAGTGCTAAAGGGAACCTATCCAAAAGAGAAGTGATCTGCAAGGGCCTGTTCACTCATGGTCTCCAATGAAATGGGCCCCAAATGAAGCCTGTCAGGAAGAGTAGAAGTGGGGTCTCCAGGAGGAATTGCCACAGTTGGGCAATTACACTATTTCTTCACTTCAGGATATCCATGCTTTTCTTAAAAACCCTATTGTAACACAGACACAGCTCAACTAGCATGATTGCATTTATTCTCATAAATATGCAGAACTGGAGAAGTGCAGGTCAGTTCTACAGAGTAGTATGGAAATACCACATGGTACCACTCCTATCTATGAGGTAAGCTTGCATACAACCCTGTCCCCAGGGGACTGTCACCTGCAGAACACCCAGCACTCTGAAATAAGGCAGTTCGGCTCTGGGCACCTTGGTGCCTTTATTGGTGGTATTTTGGTTTGTGACCCTTGGCCCGAAACAACTGACCATTTTTTTTTTTTTTTTGAGACAGAGTCTCGCTTTGTTGCCTAGGCTAGAAAGCCATGGCATCAGCTTAGCTCACAGCAACTTCAAATTCCTGTGCTCAAGCAATCCTACTGCCTCAGCCTCCTGAGTAGCTGGGACTACAAGTGCATGCCACCATACCCAGCTAATTTTTATATTTTTAGTAAAGGCAGGTCTCTCTTGCCCAGGCTGGCATCAGCTCTTGAGCTCCAGCAATCCCCATCTCAGCTTCCCAAAGTGCTAGGATTACAGGCATGAGCCACTGCACCAGGGCTCGATCCACCTTTTTTTTTTTTTTTTT